TGTGTGTTTGGTTTTTAAATTGACCTTATTATTCAGTGGGGCTTTTGTGGCAGGATTGGATGGGGCTTCTGACCTTTGGGAGGTTTTGCAGTTTTTCTGCCTGTTATGTTCTGTCTCTGGTGGCAGGATTCCACAAGCGCATTGTAGGTGGGAAATCCAGCAATCTCTGATCTGTGATTTTTTAAATCTTCCTGAATTGGCATTCTTCAAGGAGGCCGGTCTTCAAGGAGCTTCAGATAATCTGCGTTCTCTGGAGCAAAAGCTTGGTGCTTTGCTTTGGAGATTTCCTCAGGCAGCTAGGCAGGGCTTTTCTAGTTCCCTATTTCAGCCTCCTTTAAGTTTCTCAACTTGCTGCAAGTCAAGGCCTTTCAGTAGCCAGGTGTCTCAACATGGCAGACTCAGCAAAGGGGTTGTCCTGTTTTGCAACTGGCCTGTGGCACAGGGGGAAAATGAGTATCTCACGATATCCCTGCACATTGGGGTTAGGATTTGAGGTTGGCATAAATATTCTCCCGGAGCTAGTTTGGCCAGTCTGTTGCAGCAGCTGCTTGGCTTACCTTGAGTTGGAGGTTTTGGCTTCCCCTTCACCCAGGGGGAGCAGGGACAGGTGCTGCAAGCTGTTTTCTCTGTCACCTTTTTGACTCACTGTTGTTTTTCAGATATCCTATCCCTCCTTTTGTATCTCCTGTGCTGTCCTCTCTTTGACTCTTCTGTATTTAGTCTCTTCTTTATCCAGACTCTTCATCATGGGGGCTGGTGGAGAAAGCTTCTACCACCTCTGCCATGGTGCTGCCGCCAGAGCTATAGGTTTAAATAGTCAAACTGGAGATTGGGGGAGAGAGAGGTATGCATAGTTCTTAAGCAGTTTGGTCACAGGCGTGTTTGGGCTGGATCATTATCTCAGCCCTTGTTTTGGGAGTGTTATGGGAAACTCGAACAGAGACACGGACTCTGAGGCAAGGAAGCCATGCTTTATTGTGCCGGCACAGACTCAGGACTAGTGCCCAAAGGCTGAGCCCTGAGAACAAAGGGCTCTCACCTTACGTACCCTTGCAAGCAAGGTATAGAGGCAATAAAATTGAAAAACAAGGTTTCTATGCAAGTGCTAGTGCCCTTCTACCCTAGTGTTACATGACCTTCTTCACGTTTGGATTCTGCTGGTTTTATCTCTCTGCTGTGCCATCCCTTCCCCCTGCTACTTTATCAGAACACAGGCCTGTCTGTTTCTCTGCTGGTCCTTCTCCCTGCTACATCATTCCCCCGCTTTGATGCTTGGACCCACCTAGGGTCAAAGAGCATCATCTTGATTTAGGGGATTGTATTTCCATAGCATAATTACATGGACGCCGTTTTTCTCTGAACTGTGACCTCGATGAGGCTGGAGACGGACCTTACAATCGGGGGGCCAGGCAGGGCAAAACCAGGCAAGCCCCTAAGATCAAAAGCAAACACTTATGAGGGTTTTGAATCCCCCAAAGTTGAAAACCATCCTCCAAATAATTCTCTGGGGTTCAAACCTTTCCAAGTCTGGACTGGGACCTGGGTGATTTTTCTCCTTCTGTCTGTGATTTCTTCTATGACCTTTCCTTCATCATTTACCTGTAAGCAGCAGTTGCCTAGGTTAAATTTTCCACAAACTCCTCCCTCGGAAGCAAGCAAATAGTCTTAAGGCCAAGCGGTTCCCTTTTCCCTGCCTCCCTCCCACTTGGCCCATCAGGGTGGATGATGCCACCATGCAAAAGACCTCCTATAGTCATGGACTGTCAGAATTACTGTTGTCTAAATGGATGTACTACTGAGCGCAATCTGCAGAGTCAAGGACATTCCATAAAACCCCAATGTCATTCCTTACAGAAATAGGAGAATCAATCCTGGAATTCATATAGAGACTTATAAAAGGTTCCCAAATAGCCAAAGAAATCCTGAGCAAAAACAGTAATGCTGAAGGTATCACACTACCCAACTTCAAATGTTCTACAGAGCCAAAGTAATAAAAACCACCCTAGTTCTGAGTAAAAAAAGTGACACACAGACCAAAAAAATCAGAGACCCAGAAATAAACTGACACAAGTACAGCCATCTGACTTCTGACAAAGGAGTGAAAAACACATCTCAGGATAAAACCAAAACAAAAACAAAAATAAAGAAAAACAGCCTCTTCAATAAATGGTGTTGGGAAACTGAACATCACATATAGAAGACTGAAACTTAACACCTATCACTCACCCTGTACAAAAATCAATTCAAAGTAGATCAAATGATCTTAATATTAAGGCCTGAAACTTTGAAATCACTAGCAAATAAAGGGAAAATACTTGAAGATCTAGGTATAGGCAATGAATAACTTTCTGACTGTGACTCTAATAGCCCTGAAAAAATAAGACAATAAAAGCATGACTTGATAAAAAGAGATAGTACAAAAGTTTAGACGCTTCCACACAAAGGAAAGATTACCAGAATGAAGAGACAACCCACAGAATGGAGAAAATCTTTGCAAGTTATTCAACAGACAATTCATCAATGTCTACAACATGTGAAGAGCTAAAAAAACTTAAACACCAAAAGAATCACACAATTAATAAATGAGCAAATGAAACGGACAGACCGCTCTCAAAAGAAGATATACAAATGACCAGTGAATGTATGAAGAAATGTTCAACATCCTTAGCCATAAGGAAATGTAAATCAAAAAGTGACACACAGACCAAAAAAATCAGAGACCCAGAAATAAACTGACACAAGTACCAGCCATCTGACTTCTGACAAAGGAGTGAAAAACACATCTCAGGATAAAACCACAACAAAAAAAAAACAGCCTCTTCAATAAATGGTGTTGGGACAACTGAACATCCACATATAGAAGACTGAAATTTAACACCTATCACTCACCCTGTACAAAAATCAATTCAAAGTAGATCAAATGATCTTAACATTAAGGCCTGAAACTTTGAAACCACTAGCAAAATAAAGGGAAAATACTTGAAGATCTAGGTATAGGCAATGAATAACTTTCTGACTGTGACTCTAATAGCCCTGAAAAATAAGACAATAAAAGCAAGACTTGATAAAAAGAGATAGTACAAAAGTTTAGACGCTTCCACACAAAGGAAAGAATTACCAGAATGAAGATGACAACCCACAGAATGGGAGAAAATCTTTGCAAGTTATTCAACAGACAATTCATCAATGTCTACAACATGTGAAGAGCTGAAAAAACTTAAACACCAAAAGAATCACACAATTAATAAATGAGCAAATGAAACGGACAGACCGCTCTCAAAAGAAGATATACAAATGACCAGTGAATGTATGAAGAAATGTTCAACATCCTTAGCCATAAGGAAATGTAAATCAAAGTGACAGTGAGACTCCATCTCACCCAATCAAAATCATTCTCATCAAGAAAAAAAAAAAAAGGACAGAAACAGCAATCGCCATGCTGAGCCCAATTAAAACAGCAAATATTGCAAGTTTTCTCTCGTATGTGTAATTTAGACCTAAGACTGGTGATGATGACGATGTTACAGGAACATGAGCTTGTAGAAGGGGGCGTCTCTGACAGGACTAACCAGCAAGACAGAGGAGCAGGAAGATGTTACTTGGTGGCCAACATGACTGACATACATTGTATATATGAAAACAGCACAGGAAACTCACTGCATACTGTTTTAAAAAGCAGGAGGCAGGTTACAAGAGTATGTATGAAAAATAACACAATGAAACATCTATGCACAATTAATTTATTCTGATAAAAATACTGCCAGAAGCCAGTGGCTCATGCCTATAATCCTACCTACTCCGGAGGCAAAGCTCAGGAGGATCGGTGTACAAAGCCGGCCCCCACAAACAGTATTTGAGATCCAACTGGAGAATACTCAACATATAAAATGGCTGGTGGAGTGGCTCAAGGGGTAGAGTGCCTGCCCTGGCAACTGTGAGACCCTGAGTTCAAACCCCAGCACCACTTAAAAAAAAGAAAAAAAAATGGGGGAGGTATTCTGAGCGCCTACATAAATTTGTAGCTGGTTCCCAAACTCTTGACATTGGCTTTTGTTCTGTCTTGGAGAGGCACTCAGCTCCTCTGGCTAACTGCTGCACTCCCATAGAAAAGGAGAGAATTCTCACTGCCATCAGTAGAAAAGCAGATGAGACATTTTCCAGAAATTCTCGGGACCACCAACCTGGGACTGCTAGTACCTCTGCTACTAGTTGGGACAACACATGCCAGGTGGGATGTGGTGCAGGGAGCATGCAAAAGACAGCTAACATGCTAGAGGCAATCTTTCTTGGAATGAGATCAAGGATTGTTAAGCCTGTAAACTATGACAGTGTAGGGAGAATTTTTCAGAAAGAGAAAGAAAGCCCTATCCTATGCCATATTATGACAGTGTGTAGAGGAAGGAAGCTTTTAGGACGTACACCAGCAATGATCCCACCTCTAGAGAGGGTGCTGCCCTCCTGGGCCAGTACTCAGTCTGTCCCAGATATCGGTGCATACTTCAGAAATTGTTCTTGGGACCACAGAATAACAAAACCAAGCTGAGATGATGTATACTGCTTTTCTGGTCTGTAAGGGACAGAGTAAGGAAAAGAGGCAGGTCAAAGTTGTGGTTTCCATGATAGGGAAGGCCTTCAAGATCCATCTAAGTCCCTTTGAAATGCTCTGAGGGAGGCCATGTCTCGCCAATGACTTGGTGATAGATCCTGATGGAAAAATCTTCTAAGATATAAAAAAGACCTCGAAACATATCAAGCAATCTAGGAACTGAGAAACAAGGTTCTACTGCCCCCTCTCCTCCCGCCCAAAAAAAAAAAAGAGGAGGACCTCAGAATTAACAAGGAAAACAGGTGTTGATCAAGTCCTGGAAAGAAGGAACCCCAGCTGATCAACTCCAGCCCAATTAGAAGGGTCCCTACCCAGTGATACTGGCCTTTCCCATGGCCATCAAACTACAAGGAATGGATAGAAGGATTCATCTTTCCAAGGCAAGCAAGTGACAGGGAACCTTCTGCTGACCAAGTACAGCCTGAGGACATTTACTCCTGCAAGCCAATAGAAGGCCTAAAACATCTCTTCTGGAGGGACCAAGAAGCTTCACCACAGGAAATCCGTAAGAGATTTATATGCCTATTCCGTTCACTCCTCTTCCACACACAATGGGTCCCACACCGAGGACTTCTCCGTTTAGGCATACTTCTGATATGGTTTACCCGGCTGTGCCTAGGCCTCTCCCAACCCACTTCCAAAATTCAACTGTCCTGTTTACCCCAAAACTCTTAAGACTCCTCCTTCAACTGTTCAGCCTGTTTTTCTCCTGGGACTAATACCTGGTGTTAAGTCATCCCTTAGCGGTATCTTTTAATTCTACCTATCAACTAACTACCCTAAATATCACACACCAACTTCTAAATAAAACAAACCCTGAATTAGCCAAGAGTTGCTGGCTGTGCCTTTCTCTAGCGAGTGCACGGTCCTCCCAGTTACAGAAAGACTGTGGGACCTCAGCAATATGTCCCTTTACCCAAGATGTCAAGGAGACCAGCCTATCCAATCTGTAATTCTAAATGATCTCTATAATTTCCAAATCTCAAAAACCTCAAAAAAGGCCTCGAGTGGGGCTGGAGACATGGCTCAACCGGAACAGCACCTGCCCTGCCAAGCCCAAAGTCCTGAGTTAAAACACTAGTCCCCCAAAGAAACAAATAAATTAAACAAAATACACACAAAAAAGTCCAACAGCAAACTGTGACTGCCAAAATATGCTCTGTGCATTAGATGCACAGGTAATTTCTTCTTGGGAGAACTGTGAAGAGTCACTCATCATTGACTACTCGTCACTTCCCAAATGCAACAATCCCAGAGTGGCTTCCTCTGGACACCAAAAGATGTATCTCCTGCCCCGCCCCACCCCACCCCCACCACTGGGAAAGTAAAACTACTGGGGCTACTTTGGCTGAAACCTTGTCACATGGGAAAATGAGAATAATAAATATAAATTTGCTCTTATGTTTTCCACAGAGCTCAACTTCTGATAGTCGTTAGGAGTCTTCTTCCTGGGTGGGACTAAGTCCTATCGATGTTTACCCTCTAACTGGACAGGCATCCCTGTAGCCAGGTACACCTGTCCACTAATGGAGACAATGCGCCCAAATAATCAGTCCTTAAGTCCCCCAGACAAAAAAGGGCCATTCAGTTCATCCCTCTCCTATATGGGATGGGGATAACTGCAGAAGTAGGTACCCTCTTATATTATCGATAATTACCCAAAGACTTTTCCGACAGCCTGGAAGAAAAAAGCAAAAACACTGGTCATGCTTCAGAGTCAAAATGACTCTCTGGCAGCTGTCATTCTTCAAAACAGGAGAAGATTAAATCCTCTCACAGTTGTGAAAGGTAGATTTTCCTGAAGAAAGAATGTTGTTTTAGTGTAAAATCACCTGAGTTTAAGCAGAAAGACAGCAAAAAAGTTAGCTGACAGGGCTTCCACAAGTTGACAGCTATTATCCAAATCCTGGGGATCATGGTTTAAGATTCTGAATTGGGCATCCTAGCTGTTGCCTCTGGTAAGGTCCCTTCTGATGCTTCTATTCGTCGGGGCCTTGCCTGCTGAACTTGCTAACCAGATCTATCTTTTCTAGAATCAAGGCCTTTAAGGCTCAAGTCTTGATGCAAGAGGGTTCTGTTGCATCTGTTCATCTCTGCAAATGGCTGAGATCCCCATGAGCAGACATGAGCATGCTGGGCAAAGATTCAGATGTCAGGAACCATCTGGTGACCAAATGAGTCCTGAGAGAAAGAGACAGACGTGCAATTTCCGTGATAGGTAAGTTCTATCAGGGTCTGTAGCGCCTTGGCAGCTTCAAAAACAGATGCAGAGGATAGATACGTCCCCTCCCTCAACAGTCCCCCGAAAAGATTTTTTGAGACACTGTCTAACAGGGGAAACTTGGGGCAGGCTAGTAACAGGGAAAGAAAAAAGCCATCACGGGACACCTCAGCAAAAGCTCGCTCCACGCTGAATTCCTCCTTGTCCCTGCCCAGTATCATCCTGGGACATCTCCTCTAATGGTCACTGCAACTGCAAATTCTTTTTCAATTGTAAATTCCGTTGCAGCAGTAGGTTCCCCAAAAGACAAGGGAGGCTCTTGGCCAGTTCAGACTGGAAAACGGTGCATGCCTAGTAAAGGGAAATCGGTCTTCAATTTGACCTCTCAGGTAAAGCTATCCACTTAAGACCTTTGACTATTGGTTTCATCTCACACATACAATTATTAGCATATGCACATAGGCAGAATGCCATGTCATGTAACAAGACCTTGTGAATAGTACCTGTCAGTTATCCAAAATCCCTCCTGCAAAGACTGGCCAGATTATTCCTATCCCTTGCCCTTAAAACTTATAAACTGCCCTTTAAAAAGAGATCTGGGATTCTGTGACATCTGCCGGAGCTCACTGCCTTCTCTTTCGTGGCACCTATACCTTCTTTTCCCTTCAATAAAAGTTTGCTACTGTAACAGCGAGGAAGACCAAAGAAAGAAATAAGCAAGTCCGTGTTCTGATAATGTAGTCGGGGGTGGGGGGGTGGGGGGAGGGTAAGGGGGGAAGATGACCTACCAGGGAGATAAAACTTAAAAAATCTAAATGTAAAACCCCAGTATACCACTGGGGGGGGGGACTATCAACTTTATGTGTGTGTTTAAGTTGACTATAATTTAAAAACTGCCTAAAAACTTATCTAAGGTTACAATTTAGTGTGCTGATGTAAAACTGAAACTTAATTCTCTGTATCTATAATAATGTCTATCTTAGTATTTTTCTGTTCTCAAGTAACATCTATAAAAACTGACTGAAAAAAAATTTTTTTTTTCATTACTGGGGCTTGATCTCAAGGCGTACACCTTGAGCTACTCCACTGGCCCATTTTCTTTTTTTGTGAAGGGTTTTGTGATCCTCCTGGGTAGCTAGGACTATAGGCATGAGCCACCGCTGCCCACCCCTGCAGTGTTTCTTTATATATACCTTCCAATGGACAAATACAAGAAACTAGGTCCAATAGCAGAATGCAGAAAAAATTAAGGGGGTCCCAGCAGAGGGTCTTCACAGCATCCAGTTAGCCCAGGCAAGTCACTGTTTCCAGTCAACTGCTGCTTGTTGCCAGAGACTGGCCACCTGTTTCTGAGGTATCAGTGGCATCACGAATGACCTCAGACTGGTTGACATAAAACAGCATTTTTCTGTCGAAGTATGAGCACACTGTCAACATGGTTTTGAGCGTTGACCTGTGTAAAGGAATGTAGCCTTTGGGAGACAAAAGTGAGACATACAGATACATACACATGGGCCAATGGTTATCAGCTTGAGAAGTAAAACCAAGGAATCTTTGGGGTAGACACGGGCTGTAGTAAACCTACAAAAAACTGGGTGCGGGGACAAAGGTTTGCATGGTTAAATAGTTCCAGCCACAGATCATCAGGTGTGTTCCAGCTGACCATTTTCAGTTCTTGTATTGGCAGAGGTTTTGGGGTTGTATCTGGGGGGGGGGGTGGTCCATCCTGAGAAGGATCTACTATTGGGGTAGTGTGAGTCTGTTGTCATGAAGATTTTATTTTTTGTCCTTCCTTATTTCCAAGGTGATTGCAGAGAGAATTGCTCAGAGCAAAGACAGATACAAAGTGGAGAGATGCCATGTTTTTTCCTATTCTTAGTTAATTTGTGGACCCAAGTCAGGAGTCAGTGCTTTTCAGCAAAAGCAGTTTAAGTACCTCTTATAATTTTTTTATGTTTGAACTTTTTTTTTTTAAAGCTTGAGGGAATTGGGTTTTTTGGGGGCAGTGATAAAATTAGTACAGAACGGGACAGAGGAGTGACAGCTAAATCAAAAGTACTTGTTTAAGTCTAAAACTATAAACATTATTATAAAGTAGAAAACAGAGGGAGTAAATGTATCCAGTTAAATAAACTGTGTAGTGGAACCCATTTAAAAATAATTCCATGAGCATAAACTATTAAAAGATACATTTGGAGCCTGATAGCAATAGTCACTTTTCTCTCTAGAAGGACTTGGCAAAAAAGTATGAGTTTGCCCTCTGTGAGGGTGCCTGCTAGAGCTTGGATATGTAGTAAGCATGGGTAAGAACACTTTTTTAAAAAATCCTCTTGGCTTTGGTTAACTTTTGTGAAGTCTGGCACAGGTGACTCGATCTGGATTGTGATAGCTCTCCCGCTTTGTCTCCAGACCGTTTGTCTCTGAAGAGTCTCCTCAAAAGATTTTGCCAATTAACCATTTTGGCTAAAGAAAGTCCCTCATCGCAGGGGAATAACTTTATCTTGGATGGTTTGATCTGGTCCCAAGTTGGAGGCAGGTCAGGTGAGAGTCAGTGCCAGTAAGACCCCTTTGGTCTTAGGACTGCTCCAGATCTCAGGACTGGCCCATTCATGGTGATTCTTCCCAGTGCTCCTCTCCTGGTTCATTCTGAACAAAAAACAACTTTAGATTTGGACAAACCTGACCCAAAACACCCCTGCTGGTGTAACCAGTAGCAACACACCAACAGCAGACTCCCAGAAAACTAGTCCTGAGTGCCGTGCAGAGCTGAACTAGTGGAAAGTGCATCCAGGCTCAAGAAAATAAGCAGCCTGCTTGGAATTTCTGAAAGTACTGGCAAAAACAAAGCCAGATAGGAAGACTAGAATAAATGATTAACCCTTCAGCGACCAGATGATACTGTTTGCTAACAAGCATCAAGAGTTTTCACGAAAACATGCCCTCACTTAGCAGTCAAAATAAACTAACCAGACGGTAATCAGCATGGCAGAATGCTTAGATTTCGATTTTTAAGTTTTACTGATGTATTTATTTACTTAAAATTTTAACATGTATTATTTTTACATAGTAATGGGGCTCACAGTCTGAGATTTCAATAGACAGAGCATGCACTAACCTAATCCTGTCATTCTGTATCCACTCCACCCTTGCCAACATCTACTAATTATTATTTTCCATTCAAGTTACCTTTTAAAAACTTACGCACATGATAGGTGTCTTTCTGTGCTTTACTTACTTCACTTAAAATAAGGTCCTCCGTCTTCACCCACTTTTCTACAAGTGACATGATTTCATTCTATTCCACGGCTAAATAATATTCCATTTTGTATATATCCTGTTATTTCCCTCACCCATTCATCTGCTGATGGGCACCAGGCTGAGTCCGTATCTACACTATCGTAGACAGGTTTTTAAGTATTGACTCGAGGTGTGTTTGTGGTATACTGATTTCCTTTCCTCCAAGGACAGAACCAGTAATGGAGTAAAGCTGGATCACATGCCACATCTCATTTTCAGTTTATTGAGGAATATCCATACAGTTCTTCCCAAAAATTCACCAAGCAATGATGAAGAATGCATCAAACTTTTACATCACTTTGGAGAGCATGGACACTCTAAGACTAGTAAGTTGTCCAGTCCATGAACAAGGGAAGGCTTTCCAAGTTTTTATGTTTCCTTCAGTTTCTTTCCTGGGTGCTTCGTAAGTTTTATTGCAGAGGTCTTTCACTTTCTTGGGTAAATATAAACCTAGTGCGGCATGTGGGAGGAAGGAAGGGGGGGAGAGGGTTGGTAACTATTGTGAAAGGGATTGTTTCACAAGTTCTTTCTCAGCAGCTTGATTACTGCTGTATGAAAACTTCACTAATTTCTGTATGTTGAATTTTTGTATCCTGGAATATTACTGCCAGTTCTCGTAGTCTTTTCGTGGGGGCTGTAGGTTTTTCTGTGTAAGAATCATGTCTTCTGCCAGAATGGATAATTTGACTCCCTTCCTTCTAATACGCCTTTTGTTTCTTTCTCTGGCTTAGTTACTCTACGTAAAACTCACTGCTATCTTGAGTAAGAGTGGTGAAACTATTATGTACCAACTCTTAAAGGTAACCCCTTCAGCTTTCTCGCGACTGATACAGTGTTGGCTGTGTGTTTGTCGTGTTTAGCCTTTATGATGTTGATGCATGACTTTCATGCCTAAATTTGCTCCATTTTCTCTATTTCATGAAGTGATGGTGAATATCATCAAAGCATTTTCTACAACTGCCGAGCCAATCGGGATCTTTACCCTTCGTTCTGTTGATGTGACATATTATTGTTACTAGTTTGCATACATTGAACCATCCTTGCGTGTCTCTGATGAAACCAGTTTAGTCATGCTATATGATCTGTATGATGTCTTACTGAAAATGATTTGATCATATTTGGTTGAATTTCTGCATGTAAGTTCATAAGGGATATTGGTCTACAAGTCTGTTTTCTTTCTGAGTAATTGTCTGCTTTTGGTAGCAGGGTAACACTGGCTGTGTAGGAACAAGTCTGAAAGGGCCTTCTCTTTTTCAATTCTATGGCATAGTTTGAGAAGAAGTGGTGTTCCTTCTTTAAAAAGTTGATAGAATTTGCTAGCAGACTGATCCAATCCTTGAACTTTTGTTTCTGAGAGACATTTTTATCACTGATTCAGTGTCTTCATGCTTCATTTTTAGTGGTTAAATTTCCAGGTATTTATTTCCTAAGGCTTTCCTAGTGGTTAGCATGGTCTGTTCATAATTCTGTCTGATAATGCCTTTTATCTCCATAGTATCCATTAAAATGTATCCTTTTAAATCTTTCATGAATCTGTTTGTTCTCTCGATTTTTCTTAATCTAGGTATAGCTTTGCAGGTTTTTTTCCTTACCTTTTCAAAGCCCACTGGCATTTTATAATATTTTTGTCAGTCTATTTAATTCTACTCAGATCTTTGTTATTTCTTTCCTTCTACTAATTTTGGGATTGGTTTGGTCACATCATGAAGGTGTTTAAAGTTTTCCTTCTTTCTTTTTTTTTATGCGATACTGGTGTTTGGACTCAGGGCCTTGTGCTTGGTAGGTAAATAAGTGCTCTACCACTTCCCGACCCTTCCCAGACCACAATCCTCCTAACTATGTCCTCTCTCATATCTGGGATGACAGGCACAGTTTATTGGCTGGGATGGGGTTTTAAGACCTTTTTGCCCCGGCTGGACTGAAGCCAGCATCCTCCTGATCTCTGCTCTCCAGAGATAACTGTGAGCCACTGCATTCGGCCTAACATCTTTCTATTTTTTGATGTGTATTTTCTATTTCTTACTGCTGTAAACTTTCCTTTTAGAACTTCTTTTTCTGTATCCCATAAATCACTACATGTTCTCTTTCCACACAGACTTAAGAACTTCTCAACTTCATTTTAAAATTCCTCTTTCTAGTCCTTCAGTAACTCCTCATTTGTTTGGTAGCATGTTGTTAACTTTTTACGAATTTGAAGTTACCAAACTTTCTAGCTTTATTCCATTATGGTCACAGAACATACATGATATGGTTTTCATAATTTTGAATGTGTCGAGATTTGGTTTGGGACCATTTATATGGTCTCCTCGTTAGAATATTCCATGTGCTAAAGCTCATGCATTCTTCAGTTGCTGGACCAAATGTCTCATAAATATCTGTTGTCTATTTGATACAGAGAATAGTTTAACTATGATATATATTTTTAACTTTACATCTCTAAGATCTGCCCGTTGATGAAAGTGGGACCAAAGTCTTCCATGATTATTGATCAATCCCGTCTCTTCCTTTAGATCTGATATGGTCTGTGTAATGAAATTTCTAGCCATAGGTAAATATGCACTTAAAATTTTATACCTTCTTGTTGGGTTGATCTTTTAATAATTTTTTATAGTTTGTCATTTAAGTGTATTTTGCTTGATGTAATTACAACTACTCAGCCCCATTTTTATTTCATTTGTTTGGAGTATCTTTTTCCTCTATTACAGACTGGCTCCTACTTTTTGACTACAGGCCCTCTCCTCAGTCAATTGGTGGAAACTGCCACACAGGGCAGGCTCCCCCTCACTCCTAGATCACACTCCACTCAGTTGCCATTAACCCACATTGCTGCGCCATGCGCCCACTCCAACTTACTCTCCAAAGGACTGAAGCCAGGTGGCAGGGGGCTCAAGGTGATGGCACTGTGCCCACACTCACTCCCAGTGATTGCGCCTCACATGGTGGCTCTGGTTTTTGGTTCAGAAATTCCCATGCCCTTCAGGCTGGTGGCGACTCTTGGCATGTTCTGCATTGACTTGTGCCAAGTCCCAGACAACCAGAGGTGGTGGTGTCCTGGGAAACTTTCCAGCTCACGCTTGTGGTTTATACCCTGTATCCAGTTAATTTGATTTCCAGTCCCACATAGTTTCGCGCATCCATATGGACACTCTGAGTGATTGTTTGCTTAGCAGGTGTTCTGGGGGTGGGATTAGTGGATTTGGAGCTGAAAAACTGCAGTGTCTTCTGCTCTAATTTAATTTTTTCACTTAAAAACTTCTGGGTGGAATTTTCAGTGAGAAACATTAACAGTAAGCTTTCAAGTTTTGCTTTGTCGTTTTTTTGTGTTTTGACTTTTTTCTTCAGACACATGCTAGATTTCTCTGGAACACTTACTCATTGAAAGTTACTACTCTTTACTAACATAAAACACTCTGTTCCTCCAGGGGGAAATAAATTCCCGTTGTTTATTTCCCTTTTGTATTTTAGATGCTTTGAAAGGCAATACCGTACTGTTACCTCCTTCCCCTGAATAAACAAGACTATAGTCAAATGCTTGACAAATTGCATGCCGGTCATGTCAGTAGGAGACATGAAGTCAGAACTAAGTTGTCAAGAAAGACAGACAGGAAGACACGAGATTTGCTGTATGCTTTCCTGGAAGACCCAAAGTCTTTTGTACTTGAGTTAGCAAAATGGCTGGGAGGGGTAGAGAAGAAAATTTCCCCAGGACTCCTTTTATGTTTGTTTGTTTATTTTTGTGGTGCTGGAGATCAAACCCAAGTCCTGAGAAATGCTACCCGAGCACTCTACCACTGAGCACACCCTCATCCCTGCAAGGAATCCCTGATGTGACAGCTCCGTGCAGTGTGATGGCAAAACTCACTGGTAAGGCCATAATATGAGCTACAATTAGACTGCAAAAACATGAAAATGTAAAGACTGGTGAGACTGTGGGAGCTGGACAGTTTAAGCAGCCTTTATTTAAAGAAACTGTCTCCTTTACCTGAACGAGTTATGTAAACGCTGACCAAGGACTACTTCCCTTACCTAGTATTTTAAGAAGCAAAAACCTGTTGGTAAAATCCTAATGGAGGGTACAGTTAGAATATAAAGGTTGATGGAAATAAAATGAAATTTAAGTGAACTGTTATGTTTGAACATAACATTTAGTGAAGGCTTTTGATGAAGAAATGATGTCTCTTTCCCTCACTTTTATTAGTGAGACACATTATTAGTTAGACACACTGCTTACGGAATAAACAAGGTGTCTAACCAGGGAATATTTCTGCTGGGACTATAAAGCAGAATTTGGGTAAATCCTTACAGAAGGCAGTATTAATTGGACAGGTACCTGGGAGTCTGAACTAATGAAGTGTTTAAAATGTTTCACCTGGATCATGCTACAGGAATACATGGAGGAGGTACTCGTGAGCAGGACTGATTCTGAAATTGAGTGAGGAATTGCTGTATTCTGTCCTCATTCGCACGGGGCCTTACAAATACTCCCCAACTGACTGAGAACTTCTCGGTTTTCTTTGCAGGACAAAGCTGCACAGACAACATTCTGTTGGAAGGACTCCACTCTGACTGCAAATGTAAAAATGGGCAGCGGGGGGGTGGGGGGTGGGAAGAAGAATGTAGGGTGGGAAGAAGAATGTAGGGAAGTAAAGGGACAGAAGAACAGGGGCAGGGAGATGGAGACAGAGATGGAAAGATATACAGACAGAGAACACATTCTAGAAAATAATACCATCAGTGGGAGGAAAGCAGTGTACTGCTTTATGGGTTAAATCAAAATTCTGAAGCTAGGAGGTCTCTGAAATAAAGGACATATTGAACTGTTACAGTTCCAGTCAGAGATGCTAACCAAAGGTAAAAGGACCAGTGCTGGCACAAACTCTCTAAAGTTTGCCTGTAGCAGCAAGGAAGATAGCAACTGGAAAAACACTCACTGGCTTCACAGTGCTTTTTTTTTTTTTTTTTTTTTTCCCTTTCACTTTTTGCCAGTATTGGGGTTTGAATTTAGAACTTCTACTGGTTCCTCTACTCTTTGGGTAGAGACATAGGTTGTAACCACTGTGTTCTTAACAATGGATACATGTACACTATCTCTTTTATGTTTATGAACAATTGTGTCCTACGAAGAGTCAAAGAAAAGATAGGGTCTCATGTTGTGTTTTAAGAACAGGAAAGCCAGATGGGTTTGATTAAATTTAATTTATGATAGAGTGTTCTACCAAGTTATTATTTCAATAATTGCTATGAAGATCATTCTTTCTGAAAACCTCAGAGATACAGAGAGAAAATCAAAGGTAAGAGTGCTTTTTGGTTGGAGTGGGGCACGTATGAAATTTCACTCTCATAACAACTCTAATACCTGTGTAAAGACTGTCTTTATTGGGAAGGTTTCCAAGTAACATTTGATTTAGCTGGGGAAAATGGTATGATCAATGAATGCCTTGTGCCTCAGTGGGGAAGAGAAGGTGTTTGTCATCTTCAGAGTCAGGAGTAATAGGATAAGCAATGTACCATCAATCTAGCAGTTATTTTTTATTAATATATTCTGTGACTTCCTTATAATAGCTGCTTTTAAGTTTCTGTGATGTTATTATTGATGGAAAAACATTATGCTCTAAATAATCCCTTGTCAGATGCAAAGATTTGTTCCCATTCTGTATGCTGTCTTTTCAGTCTGGTGACCATTTCCCTTGCTTTGCAGAAAATTTTTAGTTATATGCAGTGCTTTTGTTCATCCTTTCTCATAATTTCTGAGCCACTAGAGCTCTGTTCATCGTTATTACCTATGTGTGTGTGTGGTACAGTGTGTTCCCTATTCTTCCAGATTAATTTCACTATTTTAGTTTTACATTAAGATCTGCAATTTACTTTGAATTGATGCTGGCTCAGCAAGTACTAGGAAAAAAAATCAATACTCAAAAATAAGTAGCATTTCCATACACAGACACAGACACACACACAGACACACACACACACACACACACACACACACACACTAAACAGTCTGAGAAAGAAATCAGGAAAAGAATATCACCCATAATAGTTTCAAACAATTAAAATACCTAGGAATAAATTTAACACAAATGAGTTGACTGTCCTATTCTTTGAAAATTGCAAGTCACTAAAGAAAGAAATCAATGAAGACTTTAGAAGGTGGAAGGACATCCCATGGTCATGGATCAGCAGAATCAATATTGTGACAATGGCTATTCTACCAAACACAATCTATATGTTCAAAGCATCCCTATCAAAATTTCAATGACATTCTTCACCGAGAAAGAAAAGCCAATCCTAAAGCACATATGGAAACACAAAAGGTTCAAATATCCAAAGAAATCCTGAGCCAAAAGAACAATGTTGGAAGGTGGTATCACAATACCTGACTTCCAAACATGCCCTAGAAACACAGAATTAAAATAGCATTGTACTGGCACATAAACAGACATACAGACAAACAGAATAGAATAGTAGATCACGACACAAACTCATGCAACTGTAGCCATACGCTTTTCAATAAAGGAGCCAAAAATTGGCCTGGGAGAAAAGACAGCTTTTTCAACAAATGGTGCTGAGAAAATTAGATTTCCACATGCACAGAACTGAAAGTAGGTCTCAGTGTATCACCTTGTACTTGCATTTCATTTCTTATTCTTCCTTGCTTTCATTTTCTCATTTATCAAACCAAGGGTTTATTTACCTATTTCTATTATTAGCAGGGAAAACAAAGTCAGTCTTCAGGCTGTGTTGCAGTTCCATAACTAAGGTCTTTATTGCACAATGTTTCTCACTTATTAAGTGAGAAATGTATGTAATATAACCTAATTCTAAGTGAGAAATATAAGCAAGCCACATATAATATAATCAACCATCTTTAGCCAATCCTCTATAAAAATTTTTCCATGCTTACAAGACGTAGCTCTGTGATAAGCTGAGTGTGAAACACGGCTCCAATTCTTCCTTACTCTATAAAGCCAGTTTGCTGTCATCTTAATATGGCTTATCCTTTGTGAGTCTGTACTTGTAACCCTTTCCTTCTATCATGTAACCACTCTAATCCTTGGTCTAGTCTGTTAAGTCTAATTTTCATTCCTAATTAAAACGTTTATTGTCTTTTTTAGTGATTTGTCTCTAACATGGCAGTTAAATATAGATAACATAAGCCTTACCACAAATCTTCATAAGGGAAACTGGAATCAAGCACATTTTCTATACAAGGAGACTGGTGCCTTGCTTGTAATAGATCTTCAAATAATTTCTGCTGCTTTTCTTCTCTTAACTGGCTCTCATATGGAATCCAAGCTTGTTCAAACTGCTTCTTCCTATTGAGTAATGGGATTACAACCATGTTGTTCCACACCCAGCCTACTTGGAGCTTAAGTTGGGTCAATTTATGATTGGCAAAAATCAGTTTAATTGCTTTATTTATTGTAGATATTAAGCCTTTAAAATAATGACACTTTTTTCTAGTCTGCTGGTTAGTTCAGGCATGTTTAGAATTATAGTTATAAGTGCATTATTAAAGTCAAATAAATATCTTCTTTCAAGCCTTATACCTATTCAAGTTTATTCCTGATCCTTTTCTCCAATTAAAACGCATAATGGAAACATAGAGAAATTAGTTACTTTAAATATTTAGCACATCCTGCAATACTTAGTACAAAGGAGAGCTATTGCCTGCCTCACTTATATTTATAGAATAAAAACAAGGGTTTTTTGTGTGAGATAGGTTCTTAATATGTAGCACAGACTTTTGGCCTCAAACTCAGACTGACCACCAACTTACCACCCTCCTGCCCACCTCAGTCTCCCAAAGGATAGTCATGTGCCACAATAACCAATGTTATTTTTGTTTGTTTTTCTTATGTCTTGCTATGTAGCCTAGGATGATCCTCAACTCCTGGGTTATTCCTCAAATATTCTTCCTTTTCCAGTAGTACTATAGACATTTGTCAATACATCCCACTTAATGTTTCTGATTTGTCTAGGATTTTTCACATTTTCATTGTTTTAAAATTACACATTTCTGTTTACCAACAGATTACAGGACAAAAAAGTATGTTTCTTAGGATAACAACTGAATATCATCAGATTTCTTGGTTTATCATATTTTAAATACATAGACTCTTCCTGAAAAATGCCATGCAGTTTTAAGGCCATATAGTCTTTCTTTCAAGCACAGATAATTTTGGAGATTTAAAGAAACATCATCAGTATTTTTCCTGGGACAACCTAACAAAGTTGTCCACCGCAGCATTAGGTATAAACATCACTATGTCATTACAAATATGAGTGTGAGAACTACTTAAATATGTAAGAAGTTCTGAAACTTTGAGTAAGGCATAGAAAAAGATAGGTCACTTTTTTGCTTTTATGTAACATTCCAACAATTTGTTATCTGCAAGAAACATACCTCACAACCAAAGACACATAAACTAAAAGTAGAAAGATTGGAAAAAGATATACCAGGCAAGAGGAAATTGAAAGCAAGCAGAAGTAGCTATTCTCACATTAGGCAAAAAAAATTTATGTAAAAATCAGTCAGAAGAGATAAAGAAGGTAACTACATACTAATAAAGGGAACAATACAGCAAGAAGATATAATTCTAAATATATATGCTTTGGTTAATTTGTGATAGGGTCACTTTGTACTTAACAGGGCCTGGAACATGATCCTCTGACTTAGCTTCCTGTAAGGTCAGGGTTACATGGCTAGCCCTTGGTTGATATGGGTTCTTATGATCTTTTTGACAGTTATTTTTTCCCGAGTGGCTAGGACTAAAGAACACTATGTCCAGCCTCCTTTTTTTATGTAAGTAAAGTTTAAATTCAGTTGCCTCCAAGCCTTCCCAGATTCTCCACACTTCTAAGTATTCTATCATGTTCCTATAATGGGCGGATTATGTCCCCATATAACCTTACATTCTGCTTTATTATTGATAAACTGTAAGACATGCCCTTGTCTATGTGCCGGTCCTATGTCCACAAACAATCAAGTTTAGTGAATGTGAAGAGACCATATTTTTATTTTTTTAGCTATAAAGAATCATTTCTCTGATCTAAGTAGTTCTGTCAGAATAAATCAATCTTTCTGAAATCCTGGTAATTAGTTTCTCTTTTCTAAAAGTTCCTATTAAGGCAAGTTATACTGATGGAATATAAGTAACATCTTTTAACTATACAATTTCTCCCCCAAAATTAGATTTTAAGATTTCTGCTGTTCAATTCATAGTATAAATTGTGAGGGAAAACAAAAACTTCTAAGGTCCATTACTCATGTCCTAATTTCTACCAAAACATATACCATTGGTTGCACAATTTATCTCTCCTGGGTCTTTCTGTAGTTTTGTGCAACATTTTGTACATGTTTCCTGAGAATTCATGTTATAAGTCCTCAAATGTTGTTGTCTCTACTTGCTGCAAACAACTTTACATGAAAGATAAATCTTAAAATTGCTTCAACACCTACCAAAATATACTTGTGTTGTCAACTCAAATAATCAAGTATCTTCTACAGCTGTGTCACTATTTAAGAAGTGTAATGGCATAGGAGAAAATGGTGATAGGTGCCACCATTTAT